TTAGAGACATATTTTTTCTAAGAAATCTACCAATATTTCTGATCAAGAAAAAATGGGTAAAAGCAAACCAAATTAAATCATATAATAAGAGACTGATCAATCTTAGCATGTTCAGATTATCAGAGAGGAAATGTACTCTTCTAATTATGATTTACTGTTCAGCTGTCTAGCTCAATTTAGGATAAGAAGTGGAAATGTTTTTGTTTTCCAAGAAATAAGGATGATGGCCGTATGTTATGAACAGTGCTTGTTATTCTTAATAGTGGCAAACTGAGCATGAGTGGTTGTTTTTTCCCACAATTTCCAAATTCTGCTTGTGTCTAGCTTAAAGGCAGCTTTGTCTGTTTTTTTTTTTTTCCCCACTTTTTGATGAGGCAAAAATTGCCAAGTACCTTTAAAGTGGGCAAAAATATTCCAAAATCAAATATAAAGAAAAAATGTAGCTCTGTGTGGACTGCACTGTTGGCCCTCTCTTCCTGGAAGGCAGCTGATACAATGCCACAGCTGCTTCTTGACACACAGGATTGTTGCTCACTATCCTGAACAGCCAACACCCCCATATAAGAACCACAAGTGGCTTTTAAGGTGATAAGATAAAAGTTTAGCTGCCATATTTTATGACATAATTCAGCCAATGTCTCTTTACAGAGTGCCACTGGACAGCCAACTTCAAACAGCCATAAACATTTGATTATATAGTAATTTAATTTAATGATTTATTTAATCTTCAAATCACAAGAGGCTATTTCCAAAACACTTTGTTGCCATATTGATCCTCTTTTAACCTAAAGGATTAATAATTGATGTTGAAATATAGTTGGAAAAAAGTTGACAATGAACTTCTTTCTAAAGGAAGAGACACCTGGATAGAATATCAGATTTATATATTGGGTGTCCCAGATAACAAAACTTTCAAGTGACCGAACTTTTTAAATCACAAGCATTTTAGATTGAACTCTTTCCAAAATGTCATATATGCTTTCTTGCCATATATATATTTTTTTTGAGACAGAGTCTCATTCTGTTGCCTAGGCTGGAGTACAGTAGCACAATCACAGCTCACTGCAGCCTTGACCTCCTGAGCTCAATCCTTTCACCTCAGCCTCCCGAGTAGCAGGAACTACAGGCACAAGCCACCACATCCAGCAAATTTTCTTATTTTTTGTAGAGGTGGGATCTTGCTAGGTTGATCATGCTGGTCTTGAATCCCTTGCCTCAAGTGATCCATCCACCTCAACCTTCCAAAGTGTAGAACCACATCCAGACCTTTCTTGCCACCTTAAACTGAGTAATGGTACATGCTTTAATATCCTTTGGTGAATCAAAGGTAAGCCTCGTAAATAAGTATGATTCTATGATATAACTGAATGGCATCCTCAGTGAGAACAACTGAGATTTGACGGAACTTTTTGCCTCTAAAATGCCTTCAGAACCTTATACCATTTAGTCCTTTGATTGAATTTTTATAGTTGACACTTTCCCTTTTCACTTAAATGTACCTACCAGTTAATTTTTTCTTCCCTTTTTATTTGCTACTAAATTTATCATTTACTAAAAATCTAGCTCAGTTAATTTACTGGAAGTATGTGTGCAAATAAGTAAGGCTTTACAAATAATAAATCAGTTTTTCTGAGAATTGTCTGTGGCCTTTAGTGTATATAGTTTGTGTCATAACTTCTCAAGAAGTTTGTTTTTAATTACTCCTGTTTCTTACCTGTCTATTGTCCAGTTAACCAGGTTGCCAGATATGTGACCTTTAGTTAAGAAAAGCATAACTGTAATCATGTAATAATAATCATTGATCTTCACTTATGACTAGGCTGCTCTAACCATGCTAACTCTTTGCATTCAAATCTGTATTTAAAGTATAGCAGTCACAATAGCGAATGAAATCTAGATGACTTTTCTTTTCAAAGCCTAGGCATTTTCCTATGCGTTTATCCTTTAGACCTCACAAATGAAACCAGATTAAGAGAAGAAGACATGACTTCAGATAGGAGTTTTACAACTCATCCCTTAATACCTTATAAATGGAAGAAAACTCCAAAATTGGAGGGTTTTGTCTCCACTAATCTCAGAGATTAAAGAAGGAACAGCAGTAGGAAAACCAGGAAAAATATGGCATTTTATCCTCCTGAAAAGTCATGATTCTTCAAAATTCTTTTTGAGTTGTATGCACACAGCACCATTTGGTGCTATAAGAAAAGACTTCCATCAAGTAAAAGTTCTAAATCTGGCCCTCAAAAGCCTCTAGGACATGGCTCAACCCACATTTCTCATCTCATCTTCCATTGCTCTCTTTCTGCCAAACCAAATCCTCCCTGATCCCCACATCTCTTTCATCTCTCTGCCTTTGGAGTATTTATTAGGTGCTAATAAGTACTTCTCAGGGGGGAAAGCAGGGGGGGATTCCATGGTCAAATAAATTTGGAAAATGCCGGATTAACCAGCATAAAATGGGTTTCCTTGATATAGTACTTCTCAGAACCTTTTAAAATTCTAATGTTCATTTAAATCTCCAAAGGTAAAATACAGTATAGAAGCAAGATAACCACTCAGTCAGCCTAGAACAGTCTCAATGTATGCCTGTCATCCCAGCATAATTAACAGTGTCCCTTTCAGCTTGTAAAAATGCCTCGCATTGTACAATATGGTTTTCCTAGTTACAGCACTTTCTAAATTAATTTGACCACTGCTCCATTTTTCACATAATACCTAAGTATGTGGTAGAATACAGTTTGGGTAGCAAGACCTTTCCCCACTTTACCAGGCGTCAATGCCTATCCAGATCTCAAATCCCCTCCAGAATAGCTTGCACTGCGGTGAAGGCTTCCCTCGTTATTTGTCCTCCACCACAGCTGAAAGTATCTTGTCCCGCTGGTGAGGATGTAACAGCTGCTTTTCACCTTCACCTGTGACATTTAGCATTTTCTATTCTATTTTTGGTTCAGGCGTCAAGTCTTTCCACTGTGCCATTTACGGTAGAATCCAAGTCGTGTTTCACTTTATCTTCCTGCATTATGCCAAACTCAATAAATACCTTTAATTGATTACACTGGGTTGCACCTGGAGCTGTCCTTGCCTCTCATTATTACAAGGCAGGTTCTCAAAGCAAGCCAAGGCAACTCTTCCTCCTGCCTTCTTGGAGATCTCACTCTGCTGACTGTCTCCCCACTTTCATATCTCCCACAACACTTAAGTATGCTCAGGATTCCCCCATCTTAAATATGCCTGGTTTCTGTCTCCACTGCTCCACTCAAACTGTTCATATCAGGGTCAACAGTCACTTTTTTTTTTAAGTGAGTACTAACTTTAAAAAAAAAATACTAAATCTTATTAATACTCCTCATTTGAGTTTCAGCTCTGACTCTGAAATGAATTTGCCTCTTTGATTTATACTCTCTTTAAAAGTCTCCAAAGTTTCTCAAAAAGTTAAACATAGAATTATCAAATGGCCTAGCAATTCTGCTGCTGGGTATATATCCAAAGTAAAGGGAAGCAGGGACTCAGATGTGTGTACACCAGTGTTCATAGCAGCATTATACATGATAGTCAAAAGGTGAAAACGACCCAAAATGCCAGTAATGGATAAAAAATATGGGTATATTACATACAATGGAATATTATTCAGCCTTAAAAAGAAATGAAATTCTGATACAAGCTACAATATGGATGAACTTTGAAGACATGCTGAGCAAAAGAAGCCAGACGCAAAAGGGAAAATATTCTATGATTCCATTTATATGCAATACCTAGAATAGGCAAGTTCATAGAGACAGAAAGTAGAATAGAGGTCACCAGGGGCTGGGGAAAGGAGAAATAGGCAATTAATGTTTAAGGGGTGCAGAGTTTCCATTTGGCATGATGAAAAAGTCCTGGAAATGGCTAGTGCTGATGGTTGTTCAACATCGTGAATATATATACATATGTATATATACACGTGCATATATATATATATAAATATATATATGCACGTGTATATATACATATTTTGAGATGGAGTCTCACTCTGTCGCCAGGCTGGAGTGCAGTGGCGCGATCTCGGCTCACTCCAACCTCCGCCTCCCAAGTTCAAGTGATTCTCCTGTCTCAGCCTCCCGAGAAGCTGATACTACAGGTGCATGCCACCACGCCCAGCTAATTTTTTATATTTTTGGTAGAGACGGAGTTTCATTATGTTGGTCAGGATAGTCTTGATCTCTTGACCTCGTGATCTGCCCACCTCGGCCTCCCAAAGCGCTGGGATTACAGGTGTGAGTCACTGCACCCAGCCTCAACATCATGAATATAGTTAATGCCACTGAGTTGCACCACTTAAAGATAGCTAAAATGATTAATTTTGCATTATGTATATGTCACCACAATAAAAAGAAACAAAAGTGTGTAAAATATTAAAATTCCTGAAATAAAAAACATTTATAGTCAATAGAGTAAAATCAGCCTCATGACTCCCTTCTGTTCAACAAGAATCTCATTCTGGGAGAACACCTGAAGTGGGGAATTCCCAGTCAAGGTAGGCGGCCTCCTCAAGCATATTGGAAAGACCTTTCCACTTAAACTTATCTCTAGTCCTTTGGGTTTCACAGCCACACCTCATTTTACCAGTACCGATGTTTCTGTAAAGTTGTAAGCTAAACCATATCTTCCCAGGTCATAACCTCGGTTATATAGGCAGAAGAGTTTTATCTAAATTAAAATTGCTGTGCAGGTGGTGGCATTGCTCCAAGCTTTTCCTTTGGGTTTCTCCAATCCTTTTCTTCCCCTACCTAACACTCCTCTGCAAAGAGGATAGTGATTTGTAAACAAATAGGTAAGCAAAGAGAGAGCCAGCTATTTGTAAAGTCAGAAGGGGCATCAAAGGGAAGGGGCAACATAGTCCACTCCAGCAGGCACAGATTAACTCTTTTATTGAGTTTTGTCAATGCTCCAATTCCCTGCCTGTGGTGTATTTTATACTTCTATAATATACTGTCGGTCATGAATGGTCTGCCCCCTATGACCAGATCTCCTGTAACAGCAGGGAGCTAAATCAGGGAGGGTGATTTCTCCAACTTTTTAAAAGCAACATATTATTTGTTAGTACTCATTGGCGATGTCCCCATAGCCTGACAAGAAAGTCCTTATCCCAAAGCCTGACAATTCTCAAATCCCACGTAAAGCATCTTGCTCCCTCAAAGAGTTTTCTGTAAGTCTATCACAGGAGAAAGCCTCTAGTGTTTCAAATTACGGATTTTTGGTGGGGGTTGGTAGTGCTTGGGAGCGCCTTGTAAAATTCTCACTCAAAAGATAAGTAAGATATTCAAAATTCTGCTTGGGATAATTATTACTGTTTGGCGTTTGCTGGATTTGAGGGAGGATACATCAAAGCAATGAGGCTTTGCAGAATACCAAGTCATTAAGGCCTGAACGTGGGCTGTGGTCGTGGAAAAGAAATGATTCCAAAAATATTAAAAACATGAGACAAGAGGACACTTGGTATCTAAAGCATTCATCACACTGTGTGTTTTTCCTTAGCTTTTCTGTGTTATCTGATGGCACAGGAGAAAGTTTCCTATTAGAAAGCCTCTTTCACTTTCCATCTCAATTTTTTTTGTTTGTTTTTTTGTTTGTTTGTTTTGTTTTTGCCACAGAGCTCTCTACTCCCATGGAATTTCATGGAGATCCCATGAAACTATGCATGAATTGTGCCTTCTCCAGAGACACTCCCTCATGCACACGATACTGGCCTCAATTTTGTAACTGCGTTTATGACTGATTTACGGAACTTTTACTTGGCAGGCCCTGCTGTTACTGTTAGCTGGTTACTATGGATCTTTCAACATGCCACTCTGGCATGTTGCATTAAAAATAACCTCCCAAGACTGTACAGAATACATAGAACAAGGGGAGTACAGTCACAGCCGCAGACGCCAGAGTCTGCTTTGGTGCCTATGTGTTTGCATGTGCTCCTAGGTGAAGTAACTGCAGGAAAATCATTCAAACACCTTCTAAAACGTCCACTCGCATCACAATTTTTCTAAGCTTTCCCAAAGCAGAGGCTCTCAGCGATCAACAACATCTCAAACAACTGTGAACCCAAAGAATAACAAAACACAAATGATAAGTGTTTGTTAAGGGCACAGATCCAAAGTCACCGTGTCTGGGTTTGAATCCAGGCTTTCACACGTAACTAGTCCCAGGATCTCAGCAAGTTATACCACAGCCACAGCTATCTCCTCTGCAAAATGGGGTGATAACATCAATCTCAAAGCACTGTTCTGAGAATAAAGGGAGCTATCCAGAGAAGAGTTCTTGGTTCAGTATTAATGTCAAGAAGGTGCTCAATACACAGATTATTGTCCTTTGAACTCCTTTGAACAAGTAGTTGCTTAATAAATATTTGTTGGCTGAAAGGGTTACACCCAGCTATTCATGTATATGTCTGATCCCCTTTTCTAGATTATCTACTGCTTTAAATCAGTTATATTTCATTCATCTTTGTATTCTCACAGCTCTATGATAGTTGCTGAATAAATATTTATTAAATTAAATGCAAAGATAAAGTCTGTTTTAAAGGGCAACAGTTAGTATGTAAACTGGTAGCAAAAAAAAAAAAAAAAATCACAGGCTTTAAGTGCAAATAGAATCCAGTGCCAAGAAAACACTGACGTTCCCTGAAACTAAATGAATACAAGTTACACATGAATACAATATTTGTAATGCTAGGTCTGGTTCAGTGAGTCTGGTTCTAGCTGGGTATTGCAGAGAAGAGAAAAGCTTTTATCTCTAGCCCACCCCTGGCCTCAGCCCATGAGCCAGGCTTGCCCATAACTCAGAGAAGAATTGCTCTCCCAGAGCCAGACACCACAGTCACCACAAGCCAATAGTTTCCTTATGCCACTTTAAGCGTCATTGGATTTGGTGACAACACAAGCAGAAGACTTCTGCTGAGGACACAGGACCAGGATAGTATATGCTCTGCCCTGGGTTCCACTCTCAGTGCTCAAATCAGCATGAACAGAGCTGAGTTCATGCAGAGGGAGACAAGGCCAACTCCTTCTTTAGGAAAGCCAGGGGCCACTCTGGATCCTAACTGCAGAAAACGCTAATAGGTTTCTGTGACTGTGAACTCCTATCTAACCTCCAGAGCCAAAATGAAAATAATAAATCTGTTCAGATAGAGAGTATGTGTATGCATTTGTGTAGGACACTATTTCCTTCCTTTCTGATAGGGTGTCAACATCTCCAGCTAAAGACTACCAAAAACACAACTCTAGCTGATTAAGTTAGATTTATTACACATTGCCACATGGGATTACATTCATTATGGGGAATCCATGAGGCACCCAGCAAGATGGTGTTAGAAATAACCTATTATAAAATGTGGGCTTGAGGCCTTTGGGGAGGCTCTACAAAAGTGGAAGTTCATTTTAGGTGGGTTCTGTCAGAAAGTGGAGACAATTCTATGATTAGGTATCTCAATAAATCTTACCTATAGGAAGAGCAGAGTAGGGCAAAGATAAAGCTGTAATTGCCAAAGAAGTAACAGTCCATTACATTAGGCAAGAAAGAGAAAGGTTTGATAACTTGTGACTTTGTATTTCTGTTCTAACGCTGCTAATATAGACATACCTGAGACTGGGTAATTCATAAAGGAAAGAGGTTTAATTGACTCACAGTTCCACATGGCTGGGGAGGTCTCATAATCATGATGGAAGGTGAAAGGCACATCTTACATGGCAGCAGACAGGAGAGAGAATGAGAGTCAAGCAAAAGGGGTTTCCCCTCATAAAACCATCAGACCTCGTGAGACCACAGAACAGTATGAGGGAAACCACCCCCATGATTCAATTATCTACCACCAGGTCCCTCCCACAACATGTGGGAATTATGGGAGCTGCAATTCAAGATGAGATTTGGATGGGGACACAACCAAACCATATCAGACTTGGACAACATTAATGTTTTGTCTGTGTTCAAACATGATTATAGAGTCATTATCTTGATCCATCAGGGTCACAGACTGGGTCTGATTTGATGGGGCATGTTCTGTGAAATTGATTATATCCAACAAGAGAAAACTAAGACCTAGTTGTAAACACCAGGCCAGCTGGTAACACCAAGGCCTCACTGACTGTGCCTGGAATAAAGCAGGATGCCAAGAGCTGCTTTCTCTTTCTTGAGTGTGACTAGACAATAGAAGAGAAAAGTGGTAGAAAAAGTAGAAATGTATTTCAACAAATGTCCTGACAAAGCCTCTTAAGCTTGGTACAGCTACACATTTTAAATGACTGATGATGGTACCCAATCAATACAGATTAAATATCAAGTTGAGGTCAACCTGCACTATCTACTGATATGCACAGTGTCATCCTTGGTTCTGTCTTGTCAAGTTGCTTATCATTGAAGGCCTGTGTTCAAAATCTATGAAGATAGTAAATATATTAGTTAGCAGATTCTGGATCAAAAAAGAATCTCCACAGGCATTAATGATAGCCTGAATCAAATAAAATGAACTTTAATAACGATTCATGTAAAGCACTAATTTGGGGTTCAAAACAAATTAATACAAGGACCAAATGAAAGACACATGGCTGGGAAGAAACAGAAAGGAAAAAAACTAATAGTTTAGCAGCTGGCTATGTTTTATTGCAGTCAACAGTGGCCACCAAAAAAAAGACGTGTAATTTTAGATTGCATTAATGGAAGTATGGAATCTTTAATAAAGAAATTGACAATCCTATCTATTCTGCACAGGTCTCACAATACCTAAAATTTTGTGTTCAATTCTGGGCATTCTTTTGAAGAATATAATGTCTCAATCAGAGAAAGTGACTGATTCTCTTTCACTTAGAAAGTCAACATGGGTCATGCCAAAACAAAAATGCAAAATCACCGGAAGAGTGATTGATGAAGTGATAGATATTTAGCCTGGAGCACAGGAGACCCTGAGGAAATATGAAAACTCTCTTCAAGTGTTTTAAGTACTGTCATATAGAAGAGCAGTTAGATTTTAGACCATTTTTGTTTGGTTTAAGGATCCAGGATCAGCTAAAGTTAAAGGATAGCAAATTTTACTTTTAAGACATACACACACTCACACAATGACCCCAGAAACCATTTTTCAATTGAGAAAGCAAATTCCCCATGATTAGCATTCTGCAAGCAAATGCAGGACTAGAGGTGAAGATATTGTGGGAGAGATTCAGGTATAATATAATGGATTTCTAACCTCCTTGATTAGAACTTTTAGATAGTAAATACCTATAGTATGATATTCTCTTGATATCTTTCCGGATTCTGAATAAGGCTGACATGTTTCCAGTAGAAGTTATTTTTTTCTAGGTGCCTCCCATTCAGAACCTCATAGAATAATATGACATTTATCAAATATGTATAGCTCAGTAAAACTCAAGTCTGTCCTCAAACAATTCAACTGTTTTGAATTTGGCTAACTGATTTGTGGTTCAAAATCATCTGCCTACCTGTACCTATCTATATCTTAAGTTATTTGCTTTGTATGTGAATACTAAATACTCTGCATTACAAATTCTATTTGTTATTTTGATAGCCACACTGTTCTGTGCTACCTTCTATCCTTGTATGATGACTAGATTTACCTTTGCAACAATATAGTTTAGTTTCACAGAACTTGCAAGTTGTAAGCTTTTATTATGATCTCAACGTTCCTAAAACTCTTCATCCTCTCCCGAAATGACAGTGAAAGACTAGTAAATATAGAAAGGAATGCTTTCTGAAAGCACACCATTGTCTCTTAATTTATAACAGACTAAACTTCTATTCTTCAAATTTTCTTAATGTAAGTCTTGCATATAATTAGTATTTTTAAAGCTCAAATAAGTGTGTACAATATTAATTTGTTTTGCATGAAGCCTCCTTTTAGTCTGGGTTTCCTAGAAAGCAGAGCCTGAGGCCAGGTACTAAGTGTTGATGGTTTATTTGGTAATACAATCCTAGGTCAACAAGAGTGAGGCAGAAAGAAAATAAAACAGGAAAAGATGGGAAAACATACAAGGAGAAATATTAATGTTTCCATGCTGGCCACTGATTTACAATGAGCCATGAAGAGACACAACAGGTCTACTGACTGACCTTACAGAGAAACTGCCTCAAAGAAGGGGAAGAAAAAGGGATTGTATCTGCCTAATTCCATCCTGACTCCTGTTTTCCATTAGTCAAGTTTGGTCCACGGGCAGTCTGTTTCCTAGCCCTTCCAGGTAGTTGCATTCAGCCCCTTTGATATTTACTTAGAAAGAGATTCCACACATCGCTGTGCAACATTTCACTCAAATTAAAAAGTGGCAGAAGAAGCTACATAGCCCAGCCCACCCAACAATTGGGTAGCAGTGGGTGCCGGAACAACCTGGCTCTTCAGCTAAGAGTAATGGTTCAGGAGATGTTGGTGCAGAGCAACCTGAGGAAGCGCTCAAGCTGCTTCTGAGACACTTTCTCTGACCTTCTAAACCTCTGTCACTTTCTGCTTTTAGTGAACTCTTACCACTTCATCTACACGCTCTATGACACAGACTTCTAGTGCCCACACATACGTGAACATCCTCTTCCTCCTAGATACGCAGATGTCTAGTTCCTGACTCCTTGCAGTCAGGTGAGGTCATGTGACTGGTTCGGGTAACACTCATGAGAAAAAGTGCTTTGTGTGCTTCTGGGCCAAAGTGTTTAAGAGAGATTACAAGTTCTCACACACTCCCTTTCTCTGCCGCAGCAACCCTCGAAGCCATGCTGAAATGGTGGAGTCACAAGATGGAAATAGGCTGAATCCCAGACACAGCATGTGTAGAAAGGAGCTGTATTGGTATTTCATCAGTCAGACCTCTTGGCTGACAAATAATGGAAATCTGCTCTAGGTAACTGAGGCAAAATATCAAAGGGAAGCTGGAGAAGCAGATTCAGAAAGCAGGTGAGAATCAGACACTCCAAAACAAGAGTCATAGTCAAAGTGAAGCCATAGGAACAATCTGGTTAAAATACTGCTGCTGGTTGCATCATCCCTGCCCCAGGGGACATCACTGCTGCTAGACTCTCTTTGCCACCACAAATAATTTCTAAACAATCCTGTGTCTTTGGGTCACTGTTTTCAGGATAAAATTACCAAGGGGAGACGTGACCTCAGCTTACATCATATATTCACACCCTAGATACAAGAGGGGTAAGACAAAAGGGACATCTGCCCCATGCTGCTTCCATTTCACCAGAACCACACATTGGGGCATGTCCACAAGCGAAAAGGAGCTTGAATATTGATCACACACACACACACACACACACACAAATCCTACAAATATCCACTGCAGTCATACGTTACTTTATTTGTGCTACAAAACCTGGCTCATTTCCTTTCTTGCAGTAGTCAATGAATAAATATTTGGGATTGATGAACTGAATAGTTTAACTTTACGGAAAATAAATGAGAAGCTACAGAATTTCGGCACCTAAATAGATGCTAAATAGTCTTTTTCTGATGAGCACAAATGAGGACTTTAAAAGGGAATGAAAATTAGGAACAGAAGGTTCTAAGTCAATGGTGCCTATTGTTATAGTTACTATTAGCCTTCCTTGTAGGCAGACCTTTATCATTTCATTTCTATGTGTGTCTAGACAGCTGTTTACTTTTTCCCTCTAAAGCTCTATTTTCTGAGGAAATCAGAAGTCACCAGACCAGAGCATTTTTGTCTTTACTTCTTCTTTATTGAAAAAAATGCATGACCCCAATTATCACCTCTAGCTCAAGCACCTCTAGCTTATATGCCTTGGGTGACTGCTTCCCATTATCTGCAGAAAGTTTGAGATAAATTGGGTGGGGCTGGGGGGCAGGGATCTATATCCTTTTGTTCTTTGGTGCTTTTTCTACCCTACAGTATGTCACTGTCTGTCTCAAGGAGCCAATCCTGAAAAAAGAAAGCGATTCTAGATATATAGGTAATAGCTTACTAGGAAGTTACTAAAGGTAATGGGTATTTTCATAACCTTTTGAGACTCCTCAGAAAATGTTCCTTGGTGCAGAAGTAAAATACTGTTATGAATGGATCCACGATCTGAGTAGGTTAGTATGTCTTCTATCTTAAATTCTTGAAAATGGTAATTAAATCCTGAACTCCGAGCTTCAGTAAGATCGTCCTGGTCATTTCTTTAGAATGAACTGAAACAAGGTGAGTAGTGATCAGTGACCAGGATGCAGCCTATGAAAATTAAAAAGAGAAAGCATAAGCCGGTCGCAGTGGCTCACATCTGTAATTCCAGAACTTTGGGAGGCTGAGGTGGAAGGATCACTTGAGGTCAGGAGTTTGAGACCAGCCTGGCCAACTTGGTAAAACCCCATCTCTACTAAAAAGAAAAAAAAAATACAAAAAGAGAAAGCATAAATATAAGAAAATTTTAATATCTTCTTCAGCAGGGTTAGATGCCAGGAAGAAAATGGTACCACTCCAAGCAGATAGGCAAACATTTTAGCTCCCCTGTTGGCAACATATGGGCTCATCCCCAGGGTAAGTGCTAAGACAGTGATAGTTTTGGCCATAATCAGCAAAGCAACAGTCAGAGGCAACCCGCCCCAAGGAAACAACCTGAAAGGTGTTCACTCCTCACTTTTCACTCTTAAAACACATAGAATGGTTTCAAATATCCTAACAAAAGGCAACCAGGGAAGAATTGCATTTTTGCCTTCAATAATAACCATAATTGATTGAGTGGGTACTATGTGAAATCCCTAGGTGTCTGACATATACTGCTGTATACACTGCTTATAGAATTTTTACAGATGAGGGACTGAAGCTCAGAGATACTATAATTTTTCCAAGATTGCATGACAAATAAATGGCAGAGCTAGGAACTGAGCCTAAGGATGCTTGATTCAAGATGCATCTTCTGTTTACTGAACCACATGTCTCAAAACAAATATGCTGTTATTCACAATAGTCAAGACATGGAACAAACCTGTGTCCATCAATGCAAGAATAGTTTATGAAAGTGTTTTTATACATACATATGATGAAATATTATTCAGTCTTTAAAAAGAAGCAAATTCTGTCATTTGTAACAATGTGAATGAATCTGGAGGACATTATGCTAAAATATACCAGGCACAGAAAAACATATACCACATGATTTCACTTATATATGGAATCTAAAAAAGTCAAACTCATAGAAATAAAGGTGAGAACATGATTACCAGAGGTGGGAGAAGGGGAAAGGAATGGAAGGAGGTTGACCAAAAGGTACAAAGTTTCAATTAGATAAGAGAAATAAGTTTTCAGTATCTATTGCGCAGCAAGGTGACCATAGTTAATGTGTTGCACAGTTCAAAATTGCTAAAATGATAAATTTTAAATGTTCTCACTACAAAAAATAATTATGTGAGGTGATTGATATATCAATTTGCTTGATATGGTCATTTCTCAATGTATACATATATATATCAAAGCATCACATTTTACCCCATAAACATACACAATTACTATTTGTCATTTCAAAGAGAAATTTAAATTTAAAAAATAAATATGCTGAAAAAGAAGGCACTTGACATATGATTTTTTAAAATGCTGCTGTGAATTACATTAATTGGTGATTAGCATGCTATTTCCTTTGTTGGCATACTAACTCATTGACAACAAAGCAAAAAGCTTTTTCATGGTAATATTGTGTCACATTTCTTAATAAATTTAGGAATCTTTTGTCAATAGTACTGGGAAATTCTGGTTATAGCTCTTTGACAACCTTGCCATCCATTATTAGATAAGGAGATATACTTTATTTAATATGAAACTTCTGCTTGAAAAAAAATCAGTTTAGAACATATTACTTATTTCATATTACTCATAACATTTTACAAAGGCCCCCAAATAAAAGCTATTCAGACATAAATAGCCATAAATATTGCCTCCCTGAGAATATGCTTGGTGTTC